TTTATGTAAGACTTACGTTATCTAGTAGTTTAGTATCCTCTTTGTGAACAAGACCTATGTCATTAACGTATTTTACTATTACCCTATTCGTAGACTAGATGAAATAATTATCTTCAGACAAATTTCAGAAAGTAACCATTTCATTGCAACCAGGCATTTATAGGAAACTGCAAAAAAATGCAAACTTTTCTGAAAAAAAATCTATAATTAGGAACTTTTCAGAACAAACCTTCTCAAAAAAAGAACGGGTACCCCAATGAAGTTTTCAGAAAACTTGCATCAAGCGAACGGTGTACAAAAACTTTCAAACCTTTTTGCTACCAATATGAGTAACATTTTCAGTCCCCTTTGTGTAAAATAGTATGTGAACAGAAGAGTATCACAACAGAATGCCCCCAAAATGGCTTCCAGCCCACTTTTATCATGAGTGACCCCGTGCGGTCTTAATAGAACTGCAGTCCATTTTTTCGGTCAGAGTCATCGCCCGGCCTCGAGCACCTGTGGGGCTTCTTCCACAGCGATGGCACAGATCTTTTCTAAATAGTGTGTTTTCACGAACACAGATCGCTTTTCCTCTTGCTCTACTAACGTCATCAGTATCTTCTCGATGCCTTTCAGTTCCTCCAGGCTTTTCCCAACTGTCTCCGGAAGTACGTAAGGTGCTGTGTCTGGTACCTTCTCAGACAAACTCATGACGTACTCCATGACGTATGGAGCCACAGTGGCCAGCTTTGCCCTCAGAGAATCTACGTATGACAGGATGTCTTGTACGTACGATTTCTTAACCAGCAGGTCTTCCCACAAGCTCTCAATACTCGACATGACGACTTTACGGTAATCCGGTTCACCCGAGTCTTGAGGTTGGTGAAGACTAGATTCCCCTTCACCTATTGGACAATTGTTTCCCACCTCCGTGGACGACGACGCCTCGTTCTTGTTGTCTTGTTGCCTTCTTCTCTTCACCACACTTTGTAGCAACTGTCGACAGCGTGATGAGAAGGTTGGGCGCTCGTCGTCATGTCCGTTAGAGGCGGCCGCGCCCGTTGGCTCCGACCTACGTGTGCGATTCCACCAATGGGAGGACACAGGCGAGCTGTTGCTGCCTGATGCTTCCCGCTCAATAGCTTTGAACACTTCCATCAGAGCGGCCTCGCGCTTCTTGTAGTCATCAATGTCCTCAGTTTTAACCTGTGCAGTCGCTTCTTTGACAGCTTCCGACGAGAATTCGGTTTGGTCTGCAAGAAATGGTTTGTGTACGTTTAGCATACATTCACTGTCTAACACCAAATCAGACACATGCAATTTTTTATTTACTAGCTGAAGCATACACTGCCATGTTTTGTAGTAGAAAAGCTTTCTATGGTGTTCTTATACAAAGAGTGAGGACACATGATCTAAAACGTATACTTTTCTCACCGTGTTTTGGGGGTTCATTGCCCTTCTGTAAGGGGTCAAGTGTCACAGACACCTGGAGGAACGGTTTCTCCTGGAAACCTGTGTTGTTCTCCACCTGGACTTCGAGCCATCTCTTCGCTGGCAGGTGTCCATTCGTCCAGAGGGCTTCAGGGACGTCGACACGAACCGTCCCCAATGTCTTTTCCCTGCACCTCCGTACCTGTTTTATTTTTAGGAGAACTACGCCGTTTTCCGTCAGGTTAGATGGGAGAGAGAACTCGGCAGTCTCCTCCCAGACGTGGTTCCCTGACTTCTTCACGCGGGTTCTCCACTTCTCCCCGCCGTGCCGCATGGTTACGAACACTTTCCCGTGACTAGGAACGTGCTTGGCAGAATGAACAGTCACCTTCAACTTGGGCTTCCCCTCTCCCTTCCCTCCTAGTCTCACCAGAGACAGAGTTTCTAACACGGTGAATACGGCCGAAAACGTCCTGTCCACTAGCCGACTCATCTTTACAACTGTGGTTGCCAAACACTTGCAGTTTATAGTTTTCCACGAGAGAGGTATCTTCGATACGTCTTGCACGATGTGTTGCTTGTCGCAATATGAATCTAGCCGCACGTAAATGGCGTTCTAGAACTTGACAGTGAAACTATGCACCGGCGTTCTACAAACAAAGAGTTGCCTTTGACCTTGGAACACGTCATAACTTGTGTAGGTAAAAGGGGTTTTGTGATATAATAATTCCTATTATAATTGTTGTGACGTCGTACCTGTACATGTATATAGCACAGAACTAGTGAAATTTTACTTTGAAAAACGGATCTTTCAAACAGCCACTCTACTGCATTCAAATACATTGTACATAGGTATACAGACACAACACACGCGCACACGCACATGCACACTCACGGACGCACACATACGCACACACACGGACACGTGCACATACCCGCGCGCATAATGAGCGGGTTTTTAGTAGAAACGTAGTCCTTTGGTGATCTTCTAAATGGTAAAATTATTGAGAAATATAATTATAGCAACTTAAATAATCTGTTATGATATATACAAGAACAGATAGATATTTTTCGCTTTCTTTGCGTATGTGACAGTTCCTAGACGCTCTTTCTGCTGTAGCTGTAGCGGCCGTCCCAACTCCTGGGTACTACTGGGACCTGTCAGGAAAGTGTAATCCGCAAGGGTCGTCACAGAAACAGTGTAACAAGTCTTGCCGGTCTAAGACGGTGTACGCTAACACCGGAAATAGAACTGGCGTCGCTTCCGGCACTCTGTACCTTGTTGCGAACGGCAGAGGAGGAGCGCGTTCGACTTCCACCCTCCCTCCGTGTGCCATTAAGACAGGTAAGGGCCCGGTCATCATCACACGTCGTTCGGTAGTAAACTGAGGGTAGTCTTTAGATATCCATGCATGCGTCTTGCTAAATATAGCTGTCTTGTTGTTGAAAAGGCTTTCCTTGATCCTTGTAGACCGTTCATTGCACTATATCAAATTTGTATTAATCAATGATGCAGACAGAAAACGGAAGGATTTCATCGACTTCGGCAGTTTCCGTGGCACGTGTCCTGCCCAGCCCGAGTTGTGCCGAGATGGTCTCACACTGGCGGTCTGGATGAAGTGAGCAGCCTTTATCCGTTTGTGAACACATTTTCTCTCACTTAATTTAGCATCAAATTCTTCGAACAAGAAATCTCAGATTTTAGACTTTTATTTCGAGCTCAGATTTTAGAATATTAGAGGGACCCTAACGAAACCTCTCATTTCCCGTACCCCGCCCTCTAGTGTCGTCTTCCCATTCCCACCGGCTCCCTCCAGAGCTGTTTCTTGTGTCTGACCTTTTCTCATCCTGCATTCTGCCTGTTAATCTTCTACCACCCACTTGCTATCAACCGACTCTTTCTAGACAAACAAACACACAAAACCCAAAACGCAGTAACCCCATATAATACTTCCATAACTGAAAGTAATCACAGTATTGCAACTCGTCATTGAGGCTGAAACACAATATTTGTCAAATGCTTACCAGACGCTTGTATGTCTCTGAATCCTAACTTAGAATGAAGAGAGCAGACAACACGTACGGAGACGGTCAGAACCCGGACCTGTACTTCATCAGCACGGGCGGCCAGACCCGGGCCAGCCGGGGCTTCTCCGTGTCGGCTGAGTGGATCTCCATGCCGTCTGTTGCCTACAGGTGGGAGGGGGGGGGGCAAATGTGATAGTAATTAAATGACGATTTTATGGTCAGAGATGTACATATTAGAATCAACACCAGTTCTAGTATTTTGTTTATGTACCCTTTTTCCACTAGGGCGGCAATCGCGCTGCGACCATACTTTTGGATTTGTGTGATCCATTATTGTAGTAAAAGGCCTTAAAAAGGTATCTAGGTGGGTAATATTTTGTGGTGAATGGCTGAATTGGTAATAGTAAATGAGACGATGACGGTCAAGTTTGTGGAACTTACTAACTAAGTCGTCTGCATAGGTTCGCCCTATGCACGACTGTCCGGGATTTTGACGGTGTGTGGTTCCAGTGCACCCATGATGTCCCCGACGGTACCTGGTTTCACTTCGTGTTCACCTGGAACAAACAGACTATGCTCAAGGTAAGAGCTATCAGAACGGTCACTTTAGTAGCCACCATCGGCCGTGGCGCTATACTGATTGTTGTACAATATTAATGCCAATATTTCACAGGCATGCAGCTGCCACCCCCTCATTGGTCGAGCCAGTAATTGCCATTCTATCATCGGTTGAACTCCTAATGGTAATAGGCAGTCAGTAGTGCCGTATATGTTAACCTGTTCAAGTTCACTATGATAATCAAAAATCATTATTCGATTTTTATTTAATTTAACATGGACTCGAACTATAAGACTAGAACAGTTCAGTACAGCAATGTATTCGCAATATCATGACGTTTTGAGTACAATCCCAATGGCGACGTTGCATTAGTTATCGATCGATGTGTATCTAGAATCTACTAGAATCCTCCAGCCTTTTTTCAATAGGCAGGTCTTGTGTGGATTTCCTTGCAATGTAACTTACGCTGATGTAACATTTGCTGTTTCTGGAAAGGTTTACATTGGCGGGAATCTGAGTGGACAAACTAGGGGTCTTCTTTCCGGTGGATCTGGCAAACTTTGGTACAGCAACCTGACACTGGGGAGGCCAAACAACTTACAGAACAGCCACCACGCCTCTGCAGCTTACAGCAACCTGAAACTTTTTGAGCGAGAACTCAATGCTGTGGAGGTGTCCGCTTTGTATAACAGTGAACGATGAAGTACAGAGATATACCGCAGGGTGGCGCTATACGCTAGATGCAAACCGTCAAACCTGACCTTATCAAGGTCATTACATGTCGCAAATCAGGAATTATCCCGTTTTGTAAGGGAAAAACAAAACTTTGTGAAAAACAGCACCCAAATTTTGCTAGTAGTGACATTTATGAACCAACCAATTTACATTTATGTACTGACATGTTGTAGATATCAAGTGACAACTTCATCCAATGAACGTTTTACGATTGTATAGCAGTCCTGAAATTAGAGGAGTGTGTTGTGAACATATTTTTTCTCCTCCCATGTGGTATTTTGCATTTAGACCCTGTCACACATTCACGAATCTGGCCTCCCGAACACATTCGGGGGTTGGTCGGGTTTGACCATGGGTATTTGGCTGTAAGTCAGTAGAACACCAGACATCCATTTGCGAATAAGTCAGCAGTGTTTGGGACGTGTTCGGGAGTTAAATTCTAATCAAAGTCAACTCAAATTGAATTCATAGTCTGTCGTTTGAGTAGTTCGCGAAAACAAGTAGCAGTCCTCAAGCATTTCAACCTAGTAACTGTAGACACTGAACAAGACTATTTCTTGAGAGGGGTGAAGGAAGCCATTTACATCAGGGCCCATCACCCTACATTGAACCGCGACGGGGGCCGACATCGTCTGCCAGATACCTTTGACCCAGTGTTGACGTCACACTTCAAAGAAGCCACGTGACAAGCTTCACTGGGTCAGTCTACTGAGGAAGACCAGAGTGACTGGTTGAAAGCTCTAGGTGAGAGAATTTTCGTGTTGGATCAAAAGTTTTAACTTTAAACATGTAACTACCAACACAGATGAACTTTCATGATAGTAACTGTTTTGTCTCGTGGTTCGGCCTTGTCATTGGTAGCCGTGCGGTAACGACAAAAGTTCAAAGTAACGAAACTAGACGATATACATTACATTGTTTTGTATGAAGAAAGCATTAGCTGGACAGTCTTCACAACAAGGACACAGCTATGACACGGCAATTGCATGGAAATCTCTGGCCCAACGAATCAGTCTCATGTTACATGTATACATGTACATACTAAAAGAAAATTTTCCCCATGAAGCTGAATGGTCTTTCTAGCCAATGTCTTCTTCATTATCTTAAGATCTCTACAATTATAGTTTCATTATCAACCCAACGAAAGTCATCTGTCATTGATTATGTGGCCATTACGAGCATGTGTTTACTTGACCAAGCAATCAATCAAGCAATCGATCAACGGCAACAAAAGTAACGCGGAAGATATTTTGAAGGTGAACCAAAGGTCAGCATCACCCCCCAGGGGTGGTCAAGGTCTTTACGTTTACGGGCAAGAAATATGTTTTACTGCATGGCGTTAATAATAATGCAGTAAATCTAACGTAATAATAGTATGTAGATGGTGCTGGTGAAAATTGTGATTGCCTGTGTATAGACCGCCTTAAGTTCTATTAGGCGTTGCTATTTCTAGGTGTCTACTGTCTACATAGGTCTTAAAACAGTTTTCTATATACTTGATGCACCACCAAGTCAAGCAATCACAATGTGAAATGTAAAGCCCCTGTTGCACGTTAAGGACGTCCCCACCCGACTAACCAATGGCGGCTCTAGGTTTCAAGCACTCCACATAGTTTCAGGCTCGACTCGGCCAACCACACCACGGTCATGGCCAATAACCAAACGTTTCCACAACCATTTCACAGTTCATTCCAGGACGCCCAAATGACCACAATCTCCCAGAAAAAAGTCTGCAAACATTGATATTCGACTGGCACACGACCAGTAGCCAAACTCTTTAACCAACTGCTAACCACAGACAAACCTTTATCACCGAATCACTCCGAACTATAGTCTGAGGAGGGTTAAAGATGGTCAGGTGGTCATATGTTCGACTATGTATGACGGAGGCTTGAAAGACAACATGTAAAGTTGGGTAAGGTCTTAGAATGTGAAAAACAACCTGTGTGTCGTGGACAGACGCGGATACCTCACATTTCAGACAAGCAAAAGCTTGTCTTAAAATTACCTTCTTGGAAGTGTACCCCGCATTTCCTTATGGTCTGTGGCAACGTTCTTTACCGTGACTTTGATCAATGACGCCAGAAAAAGAATCAGTCGCCGCTGTTATGGGTAATTGGCATTCCTATTACGATAAGTAACAAATTAAAAGGAGCACCGAATATAGCGTACGCGTGGAAAACGTGGTCACGGGAGTAGTATTTCTTTTGAAAAAGTGGAGAATGTTAGTAAAATGTTTCCAAAGACCATTACTGGCGATACATGGCATTTCTCAACCCATTTCAAATAGTAATCTGGTAACCAGTCCGTCATGTGCCTGCCAAGGTTTCGGCGGGCACCTAGGTGTTGGTCGGCAACGGTGGGTCGCAAATTGGAGCTTCTATGGCCCTGGATCTTCTCTGGTGTACTATCCCTTTATTTCGGCCAATTTCTACTATTTTTCCAGCGATCCGCGGAGCCTGGTAGAGGCTATGGCTACGTGCATACTTGCCTGGGTGCAAACTAATTAATTTGCTTCATTGGTGTCAAAGACAGCTTAGCTTATCATGCGAATCACCTGACCATACTTTTCGTGAAGCGTGTTGAAACTTTTCTTTGAAGTAGAATTTATGAGAACTAATGACAAAGTTGATTTGTGTTTAACTGGCTTTCCAGTTTAGCGATGTTGCTGGCCTACAGCTAGATGCTAAGTACACAGGTTTTGGACTCGATATTGTACACTAAGGCCAGAGGAAAGTTTACACTGGCAAAGCTGAGTCAGGTTTTACAAGGTCAAAACAGCCTTTGTGTCATGGCAACCTAAACAACTTTGTTTGTTTTTAAACCATGGGGTGTGGTCATGAGATCTTTTTGAACATGATAAGTTTGTGAACGTATTTCCGTTGCCAGGAATTTATCTCGGTCAATCTCATCAATAACGCAAAGCCAAAGGTCCTAAGGTTACAAAAAAGAGCTAGTCTGTCCTTGGACCTTCCATTTCTGACCCCGACGCAAGAGGAAGTAATTCAGCAGACTTTCAGCCCTCGACGCGCAACAGTGAAAACAACTCAGAAGTACAAGAGAGACGACATCAAAAGGTAAAAAAAATTATTTCCCCTTCCACTGAAAGATTGTTTTCAAATTTCCTGTGATCAAAAACATTAAAATCGCTGTGTATAAAAACACAGCAAAAGGAAAAAAAGGTAAAATGATCGTTCTTGTGTAACTTGTGTTGCAAACTGGCAAGTTTCGTGTGAGCGATTTCCTGATGCTGTGGCAAAAGCCTCAAGTAAGGCCCCCATTCCACTAGAACGGCACTCTCACTGCGCTCTCTCTGCGACCTGAAGTTGGTCGAAGAGAGTGCCGTGAGAGCGCCAGGGTTTCCATGGGAGTACCATGAGAGCGCCATAAGCGCCGTCACCTCGGCGACTGTTTTGAACCGGCTCATACCGTCTCCGTGAGAGCGCTAAGGGCGGCCATCCACAACAATGAGCGCCGTGAGAGCACCATGTGAACGCACAACGGCCCCAACATTTATTTAGATTCAAAGCATGGCGACCTCGGCGCTTTCACGGCGCTCTCTCCACGCTCCGACCAACTTCAGGTCGCAGACAGAGTTGTATTTCTATGTAATTGGGCATGTGGCGTACTGTTATATCCGTGATGATGCACGTTGTTTTCTTTTAACCGTAGCAGTTTTTATATTGAGGTAAATTCATATTCCTGAAACACCCCTATTTCTATAATCCTGTGGAATAGGCCATAGCTTAAGTAATTGTGTAATAGGCGAGGTTTTGTAAGCAGATATTAGGTGGTTGACCAGGTTGTTGTGTATAATCGTTTGCGAGTATATTTTTTTTCTATTCCAAGATGTAATCACCACACCTGGTGAGGGCACACTCAATTTTTTTCAACTTATCTTAATGCCGCTACCAACACAGGGAACAAATACATGACAGGACAATACTCATTTTCACCTGAGCGAAGTGAGGAAAGTCGTGTTAAGTGCTTTTCCTCGAGACCTCTTGGTTCCGAGTCGAGCACTCTGCCGTTACGCCACACGATCCCATATCTGTTTGGATTGTGACTTGTTTGTGACTGTGACTGGTTTCCTCCTACGATACCTTATCAAATAAGTAGTTTGTAGTAAATGAAAGATATTGTTATGAAAGATGACTTTGTTCACCTCGTTAGATTGTCGTGTTGTTGATCATATGTATTTGCAAAATATAAAACTTCACGGAGAAATGTCGTCTATGGACACTTGTTTGGGTTTTTGGTCGTGCAGAGAGCGCAGAAAAGGTCGCTGTAGAGATTCCACTTAAGCACGTTTTTCGTGGAATGGGAGTATAAAATGGTATGCATTGGAAGTTGCCTTGTGAATCTCCGGCCTCACAAAGAATGACCAAGAATGCGCGAGACCAAACTTCGGTGACGTATCGGATACTGCCTTGCCAATATCTTGTAAAGTTGTTTCTGTTGCAAGAATCAGGAGAGTAGAAACACCGACAAGGCCCGGTTTCGATTCCCGGTGGGAACCACTGTAAGGAGAGAAGAAACAGAATACACTCCTGGTCCCGGGCCGGAGATCGAACCCACGCCAACCTGGGCACCAGATCACACCCCGACGCTCTAACCATTCGGCTAAAAGGTCCAGACCCTTTTATGGTAGGGCTTATAAACCCCCCACTGTTACACTGTCTTGCAGCCACCAGAAGATTTGATTGGAGAATAGACGCCAAGTTGAAATGAATTATAGATTTGAAGGTTTTCGAGTAGGGCTGCGGACCGGTACACTGTACCGGTCCAATACCGTAAAAATCGTTTCGGTACAGGTCCAAAATACCGGATCATGAAGTAACGAGTATATACCGAAATAGCTAGTTTACACCATGTATATGACTAAAGATAGGTAAATCCTACCACAAAGACGAAAAATTAGCACTGGAAAAGACGTAAACACCGTCGATTGATTTGAGATCCTCAGT